TAGTTTCTGTGTTGAGATTCATTGCCAGGAGAAGACTAGTGAAGACGGAAAATCCTAGTGTGTGTGCAACAGTGAAATGGAAAGTGTGTAAATCAGCAGTAGCACTGTATTGTCTGTATTTAAGTGTGATTACGAGAGGTTGTAGCCAAAGTGGTAATAAATCCAATAATCTGAACTAGAACCCGTCATTCTCATCACGTGCACCACCCTACACGTGACAATATAAACTGTGTGCAAGTCAAAACTCCCATGTGCTTTCAAAACCGTAGCTCTGTACGCAAAAACATTATATCCGAACTAGAACCCGTCATGCGTACCACCCTACACGTGACAATATAAACTGTGTGCAAGTTAAAACTCCCGTCCTGTTTCGAAACCGTAGCTCTGTACATGAAAATATTACATCCAAACTAGAACCCATCATTCTCATCACGTGCACCACCCTACACGTGACAATACAGATGCTCTGTAGATGATGTCCTACTGATGTCTTGCAGTAGAGATGATCAAGCAGTCAGAAAGGCATACTGAAGTTGGTGTCAAAGGTATATAAATAAATAAATAAATATAGTAACATGTTAATGACTGGACACAGGGTGTGGAGCAGTAACTGGATTTCACCAATACAAGTACTTGGCTTCTCACTACAGCATACACCAAGTCTTAATGGTATGCATCCTGTTGTGTGTTATAAACAAAGTTCATAAAATGTATACAAAAGTATGCAGTCTACACATCAATATTCTGCATTTAAAACAAAGTAGATGCTATCGTAACACCATTTGTTTTTACTGATTCTATATGTTTCAACCCTTATACTGGGTCATCATCAGGCGTGCAATGATACCAAATTCAGTTGTTGAATTGCTGCTAACAATTTGCATCTAATTCTTCAATAAGGATTCTTATTGTGCACTTGACTGTTTTTAAATGCATAAATTGAGTCTTTCAGTTAAAATTTTAAAATACTTGATAATGAAATTTAAAATTAGAGACTAAAGATCAAGGCATATACAATGGAAAAGGAATATTTTGTGATAAATCTCTTTAAAAATTTGTGACTGCTATGTGTCGTAATTTCTGGTGGCAGAAGCGACTATAGTGTGGGGCACCTATGTATCGGCATCTTCTCACATAAGTTAGGTCATGTGGTCTTGACCTTACCAACGTCTTGTAGAGCTTATGCTCGTTATTTTGTACGTCACCCAACATGTTGTTTATTTGGAGTAATGTATATTAGATTTTCTTATGATGATATGTGTATGGGCTGCTCCCTGTGTTGATGTTGTCGCTATCTTGTAGCAGTTCGGTATAGCTAGAGTTTAATCCACTTATGTTTTCTGTGTCTGGCTTTGTCTTGTCCTATATTGCAGACATGGTCAGCCTCATGATTTCGTATGACACCTACTTGCTCCCTGCAGTGTTATTATATTGTCACATGACTGAGTGGCTATAGACGGCTTTGGGGTTGGTAATCAGATTTATTGTCCTCTGACAGATTGTAACTACCTATATCTATGGAGCTATCGCTAATTCATACACTCTACAGTACAGTGCAACACACACTAAATCTTCTCAGCTTGTTATTGTGTCTTCACTGGTCACCTGATAAAGGCTTCAAATGCCATGACTTCCTCAGCTTCTGTATTCATGTCTTTACCGGCCGACAACTCTCTATCATCTAACTCGAAGTTGCTACAGATTGATTTACAACAATAGGTGCTCCTCCGCCCTCCAAACATCCGTCAGGAGCGAGTCTGCAACAACCTCTGCTGGGTCTGTCTCCCAACTGTTAACTGCAGTCTCATGACTCACTACACTCTCGACTCCAGAGCACTCCTCCCATGCCTACATTCATTGACTATGAACTCAGCAGCTGGGGATATCCCAGGAGAGTTACCATACATAATAACTTCTTCAGATGTAATTTCTGCTTCTGGAGATCACTGGAATATCCACTGTTTCCATGAGATTTGTCAGTGGTTTTGTGATGACCATAAATCTAGCTGTGAACCTCCAGCAGTAAATGGTCAAACCAAGTTTGTCTTTCAGTGGTGAAAACTCCCATACAGCCTTCAGCTTCTTTGGGTCAGTGGTCACCCTTTTCAGTTATTTAGTATGTCCCAGGTCCTACCCTTTCCGGAGTAGCTGGAACTTCTCAAAATTTCGGTTTGAGATGAAGCCTTTGGATATTCGGGAGCATTTTCTGTCAGTTATCAAGCTGCTTCTGGAACGTACAATCAACAATGATCAAATGATGAAGAAATGCCAGGCAAGCTTCATAACAAATGTCCCACAGGATGGATTCTATCAGGCATTTGAATACTTTTGGAGCATTGCAAAGGCCAAAGAACTCAAATGTGAACTGCCACATCCACTGCCTGCTATAGACCGTTTTGTCTTCTCCTCTCTGTGGTGCAAGGCAACCTGCCAGGAACAACTCTTCAAATCCAGGGTTCAGTATGACTCTCATGCAGCAATCATATTCAGGGTGTTGTCAGACCTTGATATTGGGAAGCAGTCATTGGTAGTCAGCATAGAACTGAAGGACTCTGTTCTTCTTCCTGATGAGTAGGGTGGTTGAAGACCAAGGGCTGTCTGACTCCTTGATTACCCTCATCTTTTCATGCTCTTCAGCATCTTCTCTACCATGTCTGTTATCGATACTTAAAAACCATTCTGGCTTGCCTTTAGGACAGTTATTTCGCATTTTTATTCTTCTTGGCAAGCTCGTACGTCTTCTATGAGTTGATTCTCAAAAGTGCTTCTTACATTTTTTAATTCTTCTACCAGTTTGTCTTGGCTGACACTTGTGTTCTTTTCATGATCTTGTGGATAAGCCATCAATATGTCTTGAACAGCACTCAACTTATTTAACTGCTCCAAAATTTCTTGTAATGATGAATCCATCTCTTATGACTTCTGACACCCCTTATAATGTTTACTGTAAAGTAAGTAAAGTAAAGTAAAGGTATCCCTGTAACAGGCCGTGGAGGCCCATAGGGTTGTGAGATGTTGAGGTTCCTACATTTTCATAGATGGTGATAAGGCTGTCAGCCTTACACATCAGCCACCCTTTACCCCCAAGAACATTGCAAGAATATTCCTGGTACTCATTTCTGTTAGAGGCTGAGTCGATCCCAGAGCCATACGGCTGGAAGGATTAGGTAAATTTAAAAAATCCAGTGACCTCATTGGGATTCAATACCGTGACCTTCCCAGCTTGTAACATAGTGCCTCAACCAACTATGCTATCACATCCCCCAATGTTGACTATTAAGGGAAAGTTAGTATGTCACAGTCTGTAGACACTTAAGATCTTGCTGTCAGCTTACCTCTGCCCATTATAATTCTTCTGCTCCATCACTGCTCTGTCCTTTCCTTGCATCTTGAAACGAAACTCGCTTGTGATTCATGAGATGCACGATTACACATCTACTCCAACATGTGTCTGTGCTAGGTACCCGCATTCACAAAGACCAAACTCCAGACGGTCTCACTTCAGGTCGGCAACCACTGTTTTACGTACATAATATTCCCAGATGAATCCTGCGCTTCTAAGCTCTCACCAGTTCTTGAAGTGTTGTGAAAAAAGGGAGGTGTGAAACCTTCAGTGAATGGTGGGTGCACAAAAGCTGGCTCGTGAGCCCCAGCCCCACCAAGTCATCAGATAACACAAGAATATGTGAGTACTCAATGTCAAAACATTCATACAAACATAAAATCTGCACTTACTGCACACAGGAAGTACAATGCTATTCAGTATGAACGCAGTGCAACACTGACTCTTCTATATCCAACACACACATTACTCACTTCTGCTGTCATCTGTATGGATGTTCAATTGATTCACTATTTAGTCATTAAATTATCAAATCAGATACAAATTTAAATTATGCTAAAGTAATTCTTTTAATGGTAATTCCAGTACACCAGAAGGACTCCTGAATTTCTGAAGTGCATACCTCTTGCATTTCCTGCTCTCTGATAGAGCAACAGGTGACCCTGTTGAACTGGCACGGCTGCAGCAGTAAGGGGAAGTTGGTCGAGGGGATCTGAGACCTGATATATCCATAACAGTAAGTAAACTGTCATTGGTATCCTGTAGTTTGGTGTTGGCTTCACTAATAAAATAATGAAGAAAAAATGAACATATTATATATTTTCTTACAGTTTCTCATACATTTTGAACAGATAAAATTCAGACTACGAGTACATACGATGTGAGTCATACAATACAGGGAATTGACAGAACACAGTGTTCTAAACCTTTATCAACAGAATTATAAAGAGATAAAACTGTTTTATTGGGCACCAAATTTCATTACTATGTTCACAAAGCACATACCCATAGAATTTAAAGTACTTAATACATCTTGTTGAAATAGAATGCTTTCATATAGATAAACAGTGCTACATACAGAATATCAGAAACATGGCTTTAGATGAGGTCCACATGTGTCATACAGAACAACAAAAATAAGTTATGCTACAAATACCTGCAGCAAATTATCTTTGTTTGCCGGTATAGTAAATAAGAAGATTCTGTATTATGAACTATATATTAAACTTACCTGTCCAGTTCTGATTTACTGTATGAATCGTTATAATCAGTGCATAAATAAGAGAATGGAAGAAAAGTTTGTCACCTTACAGCAGCAGCATTACAGTGACATTAAATTCTCTTAAACTGTAAACTGAAAAGGATCTCCTTGATAATTAATATGTTGTGACAGAACCCACAGTCATAATTTAATTGAATGATATATTACTCTACAAACTAATATTTTAGTGTTCTTTATAAAGCTGAATTCAATATTTGAGAAAAATCTAAGCTGGAGAATTATTTGAAGTTTGACGCATGTGATAATTACACTTACTGCAGTAACTGAAGCTGACGGTGGACATGGTCATTCTGATGCATGTAAGCCATCACTGTTTCTTGTTGGCTTGAAACAGAATATCACACAAAATATCAACTGTAATCTAATAAAAACATATTTGCTAAATGCAGCCAATGAGATACCTGCAGCTGTGATTGAAAGAATTCTGATAATTGTGAGTGAAGTGCCACTACAATCAACAGGACATCTCAGAATGAATGTGAAGACTATAAAAATTTAAGAATCTTAAAATCCTGTCTCACAGGGGACTACAAACTCTGCTATAATATATTGTAACTAATCTGCTCAAACCACTGGTAGGCAACAGCTTGATAAACACCCCGCAATATGTGCACACAATAGGATGAATGTTTCTAGCTCATTGCTAGGCAGCAGTCAGTGCGCCAATGAACCACCTAGATAGCAGTCACATGATTTTTTCTGTGTGGTCCATGCCAAGGAGTTATCTTGAAAACATTCGACTCTACAAGGCAGCTGAGAAAAAGAAACCAGAGAGTTGAAGTCAGCTACAGGAAGTCCACAGTTAAAGAAAAATTATATAAGTTGGCCTGTGAAGACTTAACGGATGATTTTAAGACTTTATGTGACCTGTTGTACAGTGATAGTGGAAGTGTGTGATTAAGTGAACCTTTTATAGTTCCTGTGTAAAATCCGATAACAGGAAATGGATAGTGAAAACACTGTCAAGTCCCAACCATGACTGAGATCTGTTACCTAGCAACGACTAGTGCAAGCAGATATAGAAGACTTTATTTATGTGTTATAATTACTGTAATCTTGAGAGTATAAGAACTAATTGTAGTTACAACTTGAGAATATCCAATAAATCGATGCCAATCCAGACTCGTGTCTGTAGTCACTTCTACATGTGACAATATGCAGCTGAAGTGATATATTTCAAATATAATGGCCTTGACCTGTCTGAACAAATATGTGAAAAGAATAGAAACCATATATTAAAAAATCATGTTGTGGTAGTCTCATTTTTAGGGCTACGAAAGATCAGGATTCCTTCCACAAAATACAACAGCTGAGCTATTTGTGTCCTATGATTCAAATGCAGACAAAATTGTAGACACTATAGATCATGTGTTTTTGTGATGTGATGCCGTCCATTTCAACAGACAGGTAAAAACATCTTGGAGGAATCAAGTTGCCTCCTTCTGCAGATACCTCTGAGCCACTGATATCTCTCTACAAAACTACATAATGTCACATCCCAGAAAACCATAGCCTTAATATTTATAATCATGAAAACCAAACATATCACATTAATAAATCAATCATCATGACAGTTAATGCAAATATCATCCAGTGGAGATCATCTATATGCCGAAAATTTTTAACTTTTTTCATAAAATATACCAACATTATGCCAATACAAATTTCTGCAATGGAAGCAAAACTAGTGGCATTTTACTGTGGGATACTGAACTTTCTATCATAATATACCTTTGAAATTTACAGGGTGTCCCACGAGGAATGTGCCAGACTTCAGGAGGGTGTTCCTTATGTTAAACTATGCCGATAAAACCCAAAACACCTATGTCCAAAGTTGATCGGTTACAGAGATAATGGCCCGAGAAAAGTGTGGTCTTCTGGCGGGTCCACACACTGTACCTGTCAGCTGACAAGTCTTATCTATGGTTGTCCTTGAGTGTGGTGATGGCAGCTCACGTTAGCCCCATACACTCACATACCAGAACACGCAGTCAGCAATGTTATGTCAGCGCTTCCCATTCATGTGTCATGTATAGTGCTTGGAACTCTTAACGACAACTTTGACATGGCATGCGAGTTTTTTGTAGTTCAATTTAAGGGCTTCATGTCACTCACAAGTTAGTTTGGTGTTACGTACATTATTAACATTACAGAAACCATATACTCCTGCCAGTTTTAATATGTATTTGGTAATCAACAAGTGTGTAACACCTGTCAAAGTTTCACACTTCTCTGGCCATTATCTCCGTAACCGTTCAACTTTGGACATAGGTGTTTTGGGTTATATCGGCATACTTTAACATAAGGAACACCCTCCCCAAGTCTGGCACATTCCTCCTGGGACATCCTGTATGTGGCTTTAGCATTATATTATGTAACTTCACTCCAAAAATGTATGTAGTGACACTTTTACAAATGGTATGCTAGTAGGATAAATTGTCAGAACTTTCGAAGTTTAAACCTTTGGAATCCTAAAATACACTTCAGTAATGGTCATTATTGACTTATACTAGTCTAAAATAAAATGACAATTACTTGTGTGTGGGGGGGGGAGGGGGGTTTACTATGACTAGAATTAGACTTCTAATATTAGAGAAGTTGGAATTCAAAATTTGTTAACCTTTATCGGACGGGCCATTTAATTTCCGGTAGGGGCAGCTGGATGGAGTTTATTTAAATGCCCGCCCTTCTAGGGCAATGAAATTGTAAGCATGTTTCTAAAATGGTGTGATTTCTACATTTTTTATGATAAAAGAACGAAATGAACGCTCCTTTAATGTAGAAAAAATATAGAATCAGATATTCTAATTTACAGATTCCCCCCCCCAAAAAATTCCCGAAATTCATACATTTTCTTCACCATGCGTTCTAGCAGTGTAATACATTTTCTGCACCATGGGTTTTAGCAGTGTAAGTCCTTGTGGCGACTTCACATTCAATGATGTCTCTTGTTGACGCTTATTTATCATATGGGACATTTCGGTATGCACAACTGTATGCGTCTGTAATCACTCGCTGTGTAATGTTTTAGAAAGATACGGGAGTTAATTCTCAGAATATGGTGTTGCCAGATCGGTCATTCGTTCATTCATTGCATTCAAACCATTGTGTTTGTAACGATTTTGAAACATCGCAATATAAGTTTAGCCACCCATGACATCATGAATTAGATATTTGGTTCAGCCAAGTCGTGAATGAGATTTTTGTATGTGTGGGATGGAGGTTAAGATTTATAGCTTCTTATCGTGGTCTAAGCACAGAGATTCACTGCTAGAGAGCCGTATACACGTCGTCGTATGGAAAATTGCTGAAATTGAGAAACAGCTATTCAACCGATTCTGAATGTGGCCAGGACAGTTGGGAGTTCTGATGCTGAAATTGAGAAACAGCTGTTCAATGACACAGATTCGGACTGCTATTGAACCGATTCTGAAACGGCCAGGAGGAAAGTTGGAGTTCTGAATTCCGCGGACAAAGGGTCATCACCTTCGTCGGCAACTTGGGGACTGCCAGACCAGTGTGGCTGGAGGGGTGTTAATAATTATTCCGGTGTAGCTGCGGGGATAAATATCACTGCAGCTCGACATCACTGGCCTGCTTCCTCTAAATCGCAACTGAGGTGTCGTGTGTGCTTTTCGCGTGGGAAGCGGTCTAGCGTTCGTACGAAGTGCGTGAGCTGCGGCGTCGGACTCTGCATTTCGGAAGGTTTTCGGCAGTACCATACGAAGGCCACATTACCATAAATGACGCAGGAGGGAAGGCTGTTTACTCATGAAGATGGTGAACATATATCATGTAAGTAGAGCAAAAATTTAATTTTATATTTAATTTAAAAAAAAATCTTTACACGCGTGCAATGCGCGAAATCATATGAGGTCGTTCGGCCATATGACGTCGGTAGATTACATTAGATCACGCAGGAGGGAAGGCTGTCACCTTATAAAGCTTGTGACCAAAAATTACGTAAATAGAACAACAATTTATATTTTAAATTTAATTTAAAAAATCTTTACACGCGTGGAATGTGCGACATCATATGATGTCGTTCTTCAATTTGTCCTTACTTTTAATGTCATATGACGTCGCTAGATTACATTAGATCATGCAGGAAGGAAGGCTGTCTCCTTATAAAGGTGGTGACCAAAAATCATGTAATAGAACAACAATTTATATTTTTTATATAGTATTAAAAAAAACCTTACACGCGTGGAATCCGCGACATCATATGATGACGTTCGGCCAGCTGCCCTAACTTTTAACGACATCATATGATGACGTTCGTCCGATAAAGGTTAACAGAGTTGGACCACAGTGGTCTGACCATGTCAAAGGAATGGATATGAAAAGGTAACTGGAAGCTGGTTGAGCCAACTACTGAAGACCTCACGAAGAGACGCAAGGGTGGGCAAGAAACTGGAAAGATATGAGACAGGAGATGTTTTAGCCGTTCTGTATAGGCTTCAGACCACCTCTGTGGTCTAGTGGTCAGCGTTCCTGGCTACAGATCCAGAGGTCCAGGCTTGATTCCTGGCGCTACCAGATTTTTTCTGAGAAGTAGTAGGTCTCGAACGGGGTTCACTCAGCCTCGTAATTATAATTGAGGAGCTATTTCAAGGAAATAGCGGCTCCAGTCTAGAAAACCGAAATTAACAGCCATGGGGATTCGTTGTGCTGACCACGCGACACCCTCTATCCACAAAAAGTTGGCACTAAACTTCACCAACAAGTGGCGGTCACTTGGTCGGTAAAGGAGGGAAGAATTTGAATTAATTAATAACAATTATACTTAATTCTTAGGGTTTTTAAGTAACAATAAAAAAACAAGAAATAATTGTCATTTTTAAAACATTATCAGGGCTTGCATGATGCAATCTGTGTCTGGCATATATTCTTCAGCACCTAAATCAGGCAATATTACTCCATTAATTATGCATTACTTTGCTTATCGCTCCTACTGAGTATAGCTGAAACTTAAATACCAGTTGAGCTCGTGACACTTTTCTTCATATTCAGCTCGAAGTTGTGCCATTTCAGAATGAAGTAGAGCTAGATTTGTCTTTGTGTCAGCCAACATATTTCTCAGTTCTCGATTCTCAGAGGCTACATCATGTCCGCTATCAAGTGATGGTGAACTGTGCTTTTCATTTCGCCCTCGGCTTAAAACAGCATTCAGCTAGAGAGAACAGATATTTATTCTTACTCATTTATGTCTATGAAAGTATATCAATTAATGAATTATATATTGATGGTTCTTTATATTTTCCACCTCAAAAACAATTAACTCATTTTTTATCTTATTTTCTCTATTTACTTAACATTGTCTATGTTAGTAATAATATATTCCATTTTTTAAATTGTTCTATTTTTATCCTGTAATGACTTTACCTTTTGAAAGAGTCTTAGATGCGCTTGTAATTCTGTTGTTTCAGCTTCCATTTTTTCCTCTATGTTACGTTTCTCTAATTCAAATTTGGCTCTAGCTTCTTCACGAGCCTGTGCTTCGATGTGCGCTACTTGTGCATCAAGTTCTTCTTCCAGATTTCGTAGATGTGTTAAATGATTTTCCTTTTCACTAGACAGAAATAGTTATGAGTAAATTACTTCATTGCATGCTGTGTGTCATAAGCCATGGTTCAAAATTATTAGATCAAAGAAAGCAGGCCAAATTGCAATGGTTATAGGATCCAAGCGAGTTAAATGGGGATAATCTGAACAATATAAGACGTGAAACCAGCAGGCATTTCAGGAACAAAAGAGGGAATATCTGAAAGACAAAATTGATGAACTTGAAATGACCAGTAAAAACAAGAATATTAGAGACCTGTATAGAGGAATAAATGACTTTAAGAGGGGTTACCAGCCTAGCAGTAACTTAGTGAAGGATGAGAATGGTGATCTGCTTGCAGATTCCCACAACATTTTGAATAGGTGGAGGAACTACTTCTCTCAGTTACTGAATGTACATAGGGTCAGTGATGTTAGGCAGACAGAAATTGATACAGCTGAGCCCTTAATACCTGATCCTGGCCCTTTTGAGGTTGAAAGTGCTATTGCAAAATTGAAACGGTATAAATCATCAGGTAGTGATCAAATTCTGGCAGAACTTATTCAAGCAGGAGGCGAAATATTACGTTCTAAGATCCACAATCTAATTACTTCAATTTGGCATAAGAAAAAATTGCCTGATCAGTGGAAGGAGTCTATTATTGTACCAGTTCACAAGAAGGGTGATAAAACTGA